CTGCTTCAAACTTCAGAACAGCCAATAATAAGTTAGTGACACTGATCCTGCAGCAGTTCAGGATTCAGCTGTCACTAAAGGTTTTCTGATCGTTCCAACAACGATCAGAAAACTGAAACATTCTTCTTTCAGGAATAGATACATTATGTATCCCTGAAAGTTAAAGAAAAAAAAGCCAGTATACGATCGAGAGAGATATCTCTAGATCTATACGAGCTGTCAGAATGCCGGCTTTTGCCGGTGTTCTATCGATAGTCCAAACTTATCGAGCTGTGGGACCGCATGACTTCCGGTTTCCTTAGAACTACGAGGTTTGGCCAAGAAATTTGTTGTGCACGAGCGCCATCGCCCTATACACATATACCAAAGCAATAAAGTAATAAAATGAAGTTGGATCACAGTACTCAAGCACGTTATTTATCTCCGGTGCCCCACTCAATATGGCCGCCGCTTGAGTGGGGCAACTCAGATTAATGATGTCCTTGATTACTGTGATCCGAGTTCATTTTATTACTTTATTGCTGTGGTGCATGTGTATAGAGCAATGGCGCTCGTGCAGAAGAAGTTTTGTGTGCGAACCTCGTAGTTCTAAGGAAACCGAAAGTCATGCGGTCCCAGAACTCGATAAGTTCGAACTTTCGATCGATCACCGGCATGTTTGCCCGCTCTGCTTTGACTCTCAGACACCGGATATTAAGGTATCAGGTGTCTGAAAAAGGTTAACCCTTTCATTAATGGATGCCTCTATACTGAGGCATCCATTAATAAATGGTAACCGCTGATTCTCAGCGGTTACCAGCCCACAAATGCAGCAAATAACTCATCACGTACAGTGTACGTGACGAGTCATTTGGTCCCTTTCTGGCGGGACGTACAGTGTACGTCTCCTGTCACAAAGGGGTTAATATAACAGAAGTGTGTGGTACCTCTGCAGAAGTTATAAGGTGGATAAAGGCAATTACATGCGTATATACAAAAAAAAAATTTAAACTAAGACTTACTATGAATTTGTCTACACATGTGTTTTGTGAAGGACAGAGGTCAGTTGCATCCAGGTTTTGATGTTGATTTCTGTTTGTTCCAGACACATGTAAACACATGTCAGCGCAACATGTGTAAACGTAGGTAAGTCACAGTTGATGGCAGAATATTAGATGCGTCCAGGCGCATACGTGCATGCATAAGTTAACACAGGAGCATAATTTTGGGCACCTTGCTCGCAAGATTTTTTCTCTGCACATAAATGGCAAGTATGAATGTAGCTGTATGCCGCCTACCTTATGTATATGGGCACCTACTATGTAACCCTGGTTGACTTAAGCTCACCATATGGGGGTCCCCCTGGACAGGATGTTGTTAATGCGTCCTTTTACCAGATGCATACAGGTTAAACCTCTATTGGGATGTATATAGCATATGTTTTATTAGCGGTCTTCAATGGGGCATAGCTTTTTTTCCAGGCTATTCCATGAATATCACTAGCTTTGTCTTGTATCCACCTCAAACATGGCTTCAGGTGGTCGACTTCATGCTTTTTCCATTCTGTTCGATTTCACACAGGAGAATTGGCCTTATATCGGAGAGGATGTCAAGGTTGTATTCGCCCTGAATGGCTTGGGAATACTGACTGCTCTCTGCATTCAGAAGGCATTTTGCATGCTCATGCACATTATTTAGGGAAATGTTAGATGGTTTAAAATCAAAGTAGTGTGTTTGCATGCCAGATTATTTTTGTGAAGCACTGGAATCGAACACAGATGTGTGATTTGATACCATTGTTTTGGACACACACCTGAATGCAGCAGATATGGACCAGCCTTAATAAACAAGATCACTGACAAGACAAGCTACATACTTCAGGGTTCATGATTGTGCCTGCTCCTATGTACTATAGGCATCGTTTAGAGATAACGGTCTATTGGGTACAATGACATGGTAGGGTGTTTTTACTCCAAAAGGTTCAGTATGTCAAAGTGACGACCTGCTTGTGTTTTTTTCCATACATCAGCTTCTCTATTCTGCCTATAGTATTGGAGGAGTGTCAGACCTTAGGATCATAGGCCAGCCATATAATATTTCTCTCAGTCGCCTCTTCTTGGTTCATGGTACTTTGCAGTACAGGTCAGGCCCAGTAATGTCTACAAAGCTGATGTGCTGTTTTTCCTCTGTTGGGAAAGACACGGTGCTGAGAGTGCATGTAATGAAGGGGTAAACACCCTGTTATATTTATTTGCTAATTTGACAAATTCCTATGCTTAAAGGAGAACTATGAGATGAGTGATTTCCACTCACCTCATAGTTCTAGCCGACCTGTGACAATGAGACTGTCACAGGTCGGCTCAGTAGATCGGGAGGTGAGCGAACACATACCAGGTTCGCTCACCTCTCGATCCTGTCACGGCTCTCTGCCGTGACAGGGGGAGGGGCTGGATTCCCCTCTCCCCGCTCCGATCTGCCAGCGCTGACTGGCGAAACGGACGGGGGAGGGGGCGGGTACAGCTGGCTCTGCCTCTAGATAGGCAGAGCCAGCTGTCACTCACGCAGCTGGGCGGATCCCGTCATCTACGTCGGGATCCGCTGCGGCGTCTCAGTATACCGCGAGCTGTAGCTCACGGTATACTGAGCTTAGGGTAACGGGAGGACGCTAGTTTGTGTCCTCCTGTTACCCTAAGGAGAACTATGGGGAAAAACACTGACCCCATAGTTCTCCTTGAGATTTGTGAGTGCATTCAATGGCTCAAATAGCTAAAAAATCTGGAAATGGTAAAATAAATTTTAAACTTAGGGTTTAACTGGACGGGTACAACTTACTTACACAGGGAGCCCTTGGATTCTGAACTGGTCAGAAGTCCTGGAATTTACAGTCTTTGATCAAGGGCCTAAGTACATTCAGCAAGATGTCCTAGACGAGGCTCAAACAAACTATACACCTTCTTTGTGTGGGTGTGAGTGTACATATATAGGTATATATGTATGCCTTCCTTCCTGAGAGGCCATAATCCATTGCATCTTAGGTAGGTGATGAACATGGGTGTACAGCATCCCTCTCTTTTTATCCTATGTCATCCATCGGATAGATGTTGGCTTCTAAATCTAACAAGGCTTTAAAAGGTTTCTCTGGTACTACTTGGACATCTGTCACTCTTTGAGGAGATCAAAGCATATTTGTGACCTGTTTCAGGGCCTAATACAGGCTGAAAAACATCATAACACTGATGTTTGGTGGCTTCGGACATGTCATCCTCTAGAATTGTTTATGACCAGCTGCAATGAGGGCCTGGGACTCATCTTGGGCAGAGGGGCTAGGTTTTTGCCAGAGAAAATCTGTAAGGAAGTCACTGAGCTGAGTTACAATCTTTGGTGTAGCACTGCAGAGTTACCCTCCATCTGTTGTGATCAGACTCTTAGTAGTAAGGTGCTCTTGCCAGTGTTGCCCCCGAAAAAATATGCTAATTTCTAGTTTATTCTCTCAGATGCTGCTCTGAAGATTGACTGGGGAAACCATCCCGGCCACAGCACTCTCCGCATACAGGTTTGGGGTCACCGGAGGACAGAGTATATGTTCTCCCGTGACCCTGCTGCTCGGGAAAATGACTGGGGAAAACCTAAATTAGGTATCTGTTAACTTTGTTTCCAGGAATCATCCAGGGCAGCACGGATTCCCACCCCTGCTAATTGAGGGAGGTGGTTCAACATGAATTTCATTGTTACTATCTGGTGGTCCTTTCTGCCCTTCAGTTCCTTGGTAATACTAAGGTGGTTAGGAGGGACCACCCTTTTTATTCTAATTGTGTTTCCTGTTTCAGGTGGGTGGATCCCTTCTCTCAGATGCTGCCCTGGACGATTCCTGTAAACAAAGTTACCAGGTACCTAATTTAGGTTTTCCCCAGTCATTTTCCCGAGCAGCAGGGTCACGGGAGAACCTATGCTGTGTCCTCCGGTGACCCGAAACCTGTATGCGGAGAGTGCTGTGGCCGGGATGGATCCTGACACTGCTGTCTAGATCCAGCCCGCTGGTTGACTGACAGCTAGCTCAGCCTCTCTCCCCACCCCCTGTCCGTTCCTCCAGTAAGCGCTGGAGAAACTGGTGGGGGGGGGGAGAATCCCTGCGGGAAGCGGTGACTGACCGCTCTCTGCAGGGGTAGAGGATCGGGAGTCTGTGATCGGTGGTGTGTTTTCGCAGACTTCCCGATCAATAGAGCCAACCTGTGACAGCTTCTTTGTCACAGGTCGGCTTGAATTATGGGGATAAGTGTTTTTCACTCACCCCATAATTCTCCTTTCAATTTACCCATTATTTTAGTTCCCGGTGACATTGGTATTTAAAATATTGAGAGTGAATCTCCCTAATGGGGGAAAACCGCAATAAAAACCTGACAGCAGTTCTGAACTTCCACCACACTATACAACAAATCTCCCACAAAAAAAGTTTTGCCTTTTTTAGTTTTACTTAAATGTCCATAGTCTTGACGCAAGCATACTTCTAAAGACTGCCGTGTTAGATTTAGACATTAGTAAGAAGTCCCTTTATTTATTATGCTCTGTTTTACAGAATATGTATGGTGGATATACTCCTCCTGGTCAGTATGGTATGTCAGGCACTTATCAGTCACAAGCATCTCAACAAACCCAAGCAGGTGGGCAACACCAGGGAAACCTAACACAGGTAGGACTTTTAGAAGCCATTTACTTCTCATTATATTGTAAGGATAATGGGGGGAGGGGGGGATTTATGAACGCGTTAGCACAACATTTTAGTCTTTGCACCTAAACATTTTGTTGCAAACTAACAGCAGAGTTTTATCTCTTATGTGTCTTTGTGTTCTTGCAACATAATGTTTGCAACTCACTGCACATAGTTTGTGACATTTTGCATATTTCAACTGCGTAATTTGTGTACAGCATTGGCGACCATAAAAAAGCGCCAAACAGATGCACATCCTGGAAGTGCTCCTGAGTGAGCACTTTTTAAACTATGGTAAAGATGACTCATACCCTCAAGTTAGCTCATCACCTCAGGGCTATTCAGCTGTCATCCAGGAGGTTCCCAGCAAGCTTTAGATTGACAGATTACAGACAGAAAAATATAGTGACAGTTTTGAGACTATTCTCCTTACGAAGGCATTCAGGAATGCAACATAAACTAAGGTAATATATCTGTCGCTATGTGCACTAGAAATTAGGAATACGACAGTTTGAGAGACGTTGATGATGCGACAGCATTGATAATTGATAAATTCCCCCAATGTGTTTTATAAAGTATATTTTATCATGACCTATAGTGTAAAATGTAATACAATATTACTTTATCATGTCAAACTGCAGTTTCTGTAGACTTTATTTTTGCTGTGTGATATGCTTTTGAGAGCTGTGTAAAGCAAACATGAATCCTCTTCCTGTCAAGAATATGAAAATTAATAACATTTCTGTACTTTTAGTAATTTTATCAATTGGCTTTCAGCCTGCAGTACCTGGCCTGGAAGACAGCATGTCTTATTCTACTGTCCAGCCGCAAGTTTCTACGCCTAGTAACCAGCCAGCTTCCCATCAAACTGTAAGTCATAGCTTGTCGCAATCTGGTCCTCAAGGAGCATCTTCAGGCAGCCAACTGTCACAGCAGCATTCAACCACGAATTCCAACAGTTATTCCCAGCAGCATAATTATAATGAAACACCAAAGCCAAAGAAAGGACAACAGTTGTGGAACCGCATGAAACGTAAGTAAATAGCTTTGGGAGGTAAATTAAAGTGTGTTCCAGGTCATTCTTTAACATGCATGAAGCTGGTCACATTTTTTCTTCAGAAATTGGTCATTATTCTGGTATAGCATTTCCAGTGAAGGGTACCGTTACAACATACAATGACATTTTAGACAATTGTCCACCTTGTGGTGGTGGTTTAGTGAAGGCCCATCCCAGCATGACTTTCCCTCTGTCCACAAAACCTGCTCCATAGAGACATGGTTTGATTAGTTTGATGTGGAGGTACTCAAGTAGCCTACGCAGAACCCTGACCACCTCAACACTATTGGTTTAGGATGCCAATTACGAGCGCGGTCTCCATGTCCCGCATTGGTACTACAAATTCTCAATAGCACACGCCAAAACTTGTGGAAAGTTGTTAATGGACAAAGTTTTTAAATGGGATACCAAACAAGGTCATGTTGATGTGATGGCCAGGTGTCTATAAACTATTGGCTTTATAGAGTAATCAGGGCTGTTCCCAGCCTTCTCGCTGCCCGATTGTGTGTGTGTGCGTGCTGGTGGTGCATATCGGGGGGCGAGCATATATGCTGGTGGTGCATGCTAAGGGGGTGAATGTGGCGTCTTGCCTAGCTCACTGGAGTCGCTGGTTGCCGGGAGCTGGGCAGGATACTCGCTGGAACGTCCCGCTGAGCTCTTGGGGGCCGTTGATGTCATTGGACGGGAGCTGGAGAGTGAGCAGACCAAAGCGTCCCAAGTTGTTAAGAGCTGGGTGAGGAGATGCCATCCATAGAAAAATTTTCTGAATATACTGTTTATTAACTTTTATATTGCATCCTCAAAGATGGTCCAACATACCATGATTCTGGATACCACCTCCAACATACTCAAGCTCTATTACAAAATATCAATGATATACATAAATATCCATGATACACACAATAAAGACCATTACATTTCTTAAGATATAGCAGTATTTCAAGTAGTAGTGTAGTATATAATATAGTAGTGATTACTTAATGTTTACTATATTCACATTTTTACTGTTTTGAGATCTTGGGAGGTTTGTTCTTACTTTTTTTTAGGTAACAAATACTATAGTATTTAAAGTATCTCCAAATCATTTTAATTAACAGATTGTTGTTGTAAGATTGCTGTTTTTGATTCTTTTTCAGATTGGGGGGGCACAGATCCATATTCCGTAATAGCTGCCTACGCTCCCAAATAGGTTTTTTTTTTTTCTTCTCCCGACCTTCCCTACATTTATTTGTGGAAGGTTGGAAGTAGAATTTGATCCACTTTAGTTTTCTTTCGGATTCTATTTTTCTTGTTATTTTCCACACCTTTCCATATTGCTTCCCTCTTTCTAACAACTCCTTTTTTTTTTAAGCTCAATTATATTCTTCTCCTTTTTTCACATTATTTTCCTGTTCTACCTGATTCTCCATTTCTGTCCTATCCTGTTGCATTTTCCGAGTGCTGATGTTGGGGGTGGCTGGCCAACTGGGCCACCTTCCTTCTCACCCTAAACATAGGATTTAAAATGATCTACGATCATTATCATTTTTCTTTTAAATTTCTTCTAATTTATATCTCCGATTTGCTAATGATGACTGACATACGCATTGTTTCCTTTTAATACAAAGAAATTGTATTTTAAATGAACTGTGGTGTCCTAAAGCCCAAGTCGCGTTTATTCAAGAAACTAATTTCCAATTGTCAAAATCTCCTAAATTTTCTAACTTCAGGTTTCCACTAGGATACCACAGTACTAATCCACAATGCAAGACAAAAGGGGTTAGCATTTTGTTCTCTAAAGAAGTTGGTTGGTCCCTTCAAGCCCAATATCTTGACCCTCAATGCTGTTTTTTCTTTTTGAAAAATAGATAATCCGTGCTTCTGGAAAAGAGACTAAAGGGGAAATATGTATTGTAAATTAAAACCTAAAGCAGCTCTAAAAGAGAATGGAAGAATCCTTTCAACAATCGAGAAAAATATATATCAAAGCGCTAAAGGTATAAATTAATATGAAATTTAGTGCAACCAAGTGATATAGTGAAATTTAGGGTTTAGGCGGTCTAGCCCTAAACCAAGTGATATATCTTACATAGGATCATGAAAAAAACAATTAAATTAATAATTCAATTGTGCTGTGGAAAAACAGATAGTGATTGGGACAATAAAAAAATTTCAACCACTGTGTAAAGACATCAAATTATATAATAATATATGAACGATCCACGCAAAAAAATATATTAAAAAACGTTAAAAATAAAGTGTTCAGTGAGAAAAAAACGTAAAAAACGTGTGCAAGAGAAATTGTTAATGATATATATTGTTGATGATAAATTTTTCTTAGCGGTGGTCCGACAGCCCCTCTTGGGTGGGTACTCACCAAATGGAGCTGGATCAAAGGCTTTTAGTTAGTGACAATTGAGCCTGCAATCGTGCTTTCAAACTTGGACCCAGTTGTTTCCACTCTCAGTCCCTGCAAGGTGAGTGTTTGATTTTTCTCCCTTGTAGCGCTGGCTGTTTCCCAAAAGTGAAGCTGGATCGTCTCAGGCACAGTGTCAGCAAAACTCCTTTTGGAATGTCCGTGTGGACTCCAATACGTTGGCAGAACCACTCGGACCACCGCTAAGAAAAATTTATCATCAACAATATATATCATTAACAATTTCTCTTGCACACGTTTTTTACGTTTATTTCTCACTGAACACTTTATTTTTAACGTTTTTTAATATATTTTTTTTGCGTGGATCGTTTATATATTATTATATAATTTGATGTCTTTACACAGTGGTTGAAATTTTTTTATTGTCCCAATCACTATCTGTTTTTCCACAGCACAATTGAATTATTAATTTAATTGTTTTTTTCATGATCCTATGTAAGATATATCACTTGGTTTAGGGCTAGACTGCCTAAACCCTAAATTTCACTATATCACTTGGTTGCACTAAGTTTCATATTATTTATACCTTTAGCGCTTTGATATATATTTTTCTCGATTGTTTTTTCTTTTTGTCTGGAGATTTGAACGGTAGACGAGTGACATTGACGTCAATATACAGTCCCAAGCGGGGGGTCAACTCTCCTTTTCTTGAGGAATGCTTGACACTTCTCAGATTTCCAAGAGGGGGTCTTGATTTTTGGGGGTGACCTAAATCTCAGTTTAGGCCCTATCTTGGACACCGTCTTTAAAACATCACTTGTCCTATGCCACTCTCCGAAAAATTAAAAAGGCATTGCAATCCCTATATCTAGTAGATGTTTGGCGTTTACAACACCCTACCACCAAAGACTATACCTTTTTTTTTTTTCTCTGCCCCACATCAATCTTACACTCGTATAGATTACATTATGATATCCCATAATGCTCTTCGCCAAGCTATAGAATCTTCTATAGATACTTGCACAATTTCTGAACATGCACCCATTACTTTACTCTTGCGTTGGGGGAAATTCTCTCCTAGAGCTTGGAGATGGAAACTCAATGACTATCTCAGAACAAATCGTTTCGTACAGAGCTTCAAAATGAGATAAAAAGTTTATTTGAAACAAACCAGAATTCAGTATCCTCTGATATCGTAATATGTGAGGCTCATAAATAGAGGACAGCTTATCCAGAGGGGCTCATTTCTGAAGAAATCCAAATTATCACGCATCACTCCTACTTCTATCTCAAATTCTCAATTGGAGATGATCTATAAAAGGTCTTTAGCACAAACTCACTAACTAACTAGAAGCAGTCGTACGGTCTATAAATTCAGAAATAAATCAGGGAAAATACTTGCTAAGTCCTTGAGGGAAGCTTCCTTTTAAAACTTGTATTCCCCACATTTCTCAAGTTGGAGGAGGAATGGCAGTCAAATCTTCTGACACAGCGGAATGTTTTCGCTCTTATTACGAAAATCTGTACAATCTACCTACTAAACCTCCAACTGCTGAGCTCCCTTCCAGGCAACAGAACATTGAAAACTACATTACAGAATCTGGACTTCCTACTCTCGCTAATGAAGCTATTAATGCCTTGGAAAAACCTTTAACAATAGCAGAATTTCTAACCAATAGTGAAATCCCCCAAACAGGGTAAATCTCCAGGCCCTGATGGATATACTACAACCTATTACAAAACATTTGCAAACCACTTTGCACCTCGCTTCATCTCTGCATTCAATTCCATTTTAGATGGTCACACTCTTCCTACTGAAACTCTACAAGCTCACATTGTTGTGATCCCTAAAGAAAATAAAGACTCCACTATTTGCTCAAACTATATACCTATTTCGCTTTTAAATCTTGATCTTAAGATCTTCTCCAAGATTTTGGCGAACAGAATAATTCCCCTCCTTCAATCTATCATTCATAACGATCAGGTGGGCTTCATGCCCCATAGAGAGGCAAAAGATAATACCTCTCGTGTACTCAATATAATTCACTAACGCATTCACAGAAAACACCCCTTGCATTGCTTTCTATGGATGCAGAGAGAGCATTCGATAGAGTAGATTGGACTTTTCTAAAAACTAAATTCCGACACTTGAGTTATGGTTCTAACGTGCGCTTGGCTGGATGCCATTTATTCGTCTCCTACGGCAGAGTTTAGAATCAATGAAGCTTTATCACCCTCTTTTCCTCTGTCCTTGACACGACAAGGCTGCCCTCTTTCACCTTTAAGTTTTATTCTCTCTAGAAACTCTCCTTCGAAAGATCCGGAACAATCCAAACATTTCAAGGTCTTCAGATAGGAGATGTCCATCATAAAGTTGCAGCATTCGCAGACCTTTTATTTCCTCTCCTGAAACTTCTTTACCAATTTTACTTAAAGAACTTTCCACCTTTTTGAACAATCCAATTTTAAAATCAACTACCACCAATCGGAGGTACTCAACATTTCTCTTCCCCCTTCATAGATTTTCAAGTCTTAAATCCTCATTTCCGTTTAAATGGGCACAAAACCATGTATCTTATTTAGGTACTCGTATTACACCCCAGATTTCAGGGATCTTTGA